GGTAGGTGAGGGAGCCCGTCAGGTCCCAGACCTAGATGGCCCTGGACACAAACCAGCCTGGACCCAGACTATTTGGGACAGACTGTTTTTAAAAGTGACATCCTCAGAAGAGAATGCCAGTGCCCCTCGTGGTTGGTCAGCTCTTGGAAACGAGGGGGCAGATGTGGTAGGAAGTACGGGCTTCCTCGGGCTGAGCACCGCCGCAGGGCAGAGCCTGCTCCGAACCAACAGACCGGGGTGGGGTGGGTGGGGGTCAGGGATACTCCCTTCTCTGTGGGTGAGTGTGGCCGAGATGGGAGAAAAAGGCAAACTTCCAATTATTTGGGGACTGTCCCGCGCTCACTTCCCACAGTCCCAGGTAAGAACCAAGCGGGGCGCACGGTGGCCCAGAGCCCCTGTTAAGCAGTCTTCTAGGAGGTGAAGCCACCCAGGCGTGTGACAGCACGTGACCTCCCTCCGACGTGCACCACGATCTCTCTGCAGCTCCCGGCAGCCAGGGAGTTCACAGGGACAACACAGGACGCTCCGCGACACCAGCTCAGCACCGTTCACAAAGCCGGAGGCACGGAATCTTAGAACCGGAAGGGACCCTGACGGTCACCCTGATTGTCTTAGGAGTTGAACAATGCCTCGGAGACAGAAGAAGTCCCTGACGAACCTGTACACACAGACGTAAAGCTCTGGGCACCACACTCACGTGGGTCACGGACTCTCTCTTCCCAGCTTTTGCCGCTGAACTAACACCACAGGCGACATCTGTATAAATCATGCTTCATCAGGCCAGTCTGCTCTCCCCCTCCACAAGCAGGTCATCAAACTGACCTCTCCATGCCCTCTGCTGTTGGTGCGCTGTGCGTGGTCTGATCTACCTGCCAGACTGACGGTGCATTTCCCAGCCTCTAGACAGGCTTGGTGATGCCTGGTGTGGATCCCGGACTCCTGGGGTCCTTCCCAATGCCTACAGTCACCATGGCTCGGCTGGCTGGAGCCCCAAGAAGGGAAGGGGTCTCCAGGGACACCGAGGCGGGGGCTGCAGATGCTACTCTGGCCTGGCCAACACACAACATTCCCCCAGGTGGGCACACTGCCGTTGCCGCGGGGGCTCAGTGTCACGTGGGATGCTGACAGCCAGGATAGTCACTGAAACCGGAGGCAGAGGTTCAGGACAACCCAGACGAGGTGCTTCTCTGGAACCAGGACTGGGTCTCATCCTGCCTCTCGCCATTCCCTACTCTCTGGCCACCGGCCAGGGGCCTGCTGGTCCCCTACCATCCACCACCAAGAGGAAGACAAGGCCTCCATGAGGGGCAGGGGACACATATGGTGAGATGGGCTGACTGCCCCCTTCAAGGGCAGCTTTGAAAGGAGCCCTGTCCTGGCTGCAGTGGCCTGCTTGGGGCTCAGGGGGGCCCCAGCCGTGGGCGGCCGCGATTAGTCAGAAGAGCAAGTGCAGAGTAAGAGATGATGCTTTCTGGACACATGGATGTGCTGGGACCACCCCCCCCCAGAACGGTGAGGTCGATAAAGCCCTACTCACTGGAATAATGACTCCACTTTCTGCAAGCTCTCAGCAGAATCAGTTTTAAAATTGTCTGGGGGCAATTTTACATAAAAGAAACAAGTCTATCATAAATGCAGGCCAGCAGGGCGTCTTGGTGATGCTGGAGTCAAGTGTACCCCTGTTTATAATTTTCCGACACGACTTCTGGGAATTGTGAAATGTGCAGTAAAAATCCTAAAACACTGAGGGAAGAACCCACCTCTAAAGTCAGGAGGCATTTATTTCTGCAGCTGACGTGCCAGCACATTTTAACGTGACCCAGGCGGAGGCCTGTGAAGTCAGCTTCTCCAGCTCGACCTCCTTCCTGAGCTCCAGACTCATTCAGCAAAGCGCCCACCACAGATCTGCACTGCTGGCACCTTCCTCTTCATTCTCTTCCACTCACATCTGCCTGTTCCCCCAGCACCACCATCCTCCCCGTCCCTTAAACTGGAAAATTGGGAAAACCTTGCCACGCCTGACCCTTTGCCTCACTCCTCCCACAGGTCTTTCGAAGACCCACAGCTTCCCCACCCCTGGACTGTCTCTCTGCCCCCTCCATCCCCAGACGCCGGCACTGGGCAGGCCACCTCCGCCCTCCCTCTACTTCTGGTCTGCACTTCCTACCCTCCCCCACCCCCAACACCTCATCCCCGCTCCTGCACGCAGGCTGAGCTTTCAGAAATGCCAATCAGATCACCCTGCTTAAAACCTGTCAGAGGCCCCCACCGCCCAAAAGGAAAAGTACAAATTCCTGGGCGCAGTTAGGAAATTATGGCAGCTCACGTTGGGGAGATGATCAGGGACTCTTCTTTTCGTGGATTACTGCATTCGACCCCTTGAAAGTCTCTACAGGAGATGCACTGCTGTCACTTAGGGTCTCAGCTCTGCAGGGGAGGCCCAAGGGCGAGGGGCCTGCACACCCGCCCTGCCGGCTGGAGCCCAGGGCTGGAGCCCAGGCAGCCCTGCCAGAGCTCACGTCAGCACCTGCTGGTCCTTCCTTTCTGTGGCCTCAGCTCCCACCTTCCTCCTTTGTCCACTCTCCTCCCGGAATACCAGAGTCAAGGCTCCAAGGATGGGCGTGCAATTTAAGCCCCCATGCCAGGCCTGGAGTCCCATCGCCCGACCCCAGAGAGCCGGGTGGAAGCCTCGGTGTGAGGCTGCATCTCCGTGAAGATTCTGCTGAGCCCATCCTGCCCCCCCCGCCAGGCCCCTCAAAGTAAAGCTGACCTCCCCCTTCCTTGTTTCTTCAAAAACATCTGGTGAAGGAGAGAGGAGGCTTTTAACCGGCCTCCTTCCTGCCTCCTGCCAAGCGAGGCTGGATTAGTAAACAAGAAGCAAGTCACTTCCCTTGTTTCGAGGTCATTTTCCTCCTAAGATAACCTCTAAAGTCTCATACATACAAGATAGAAAACACTGGGGGTGTCATGTACAACGTGATGATTACGGGGAACACTGCTTTATGGTATATTCGAAAGCTGTTAGAAAATGCTCAAAGTTGTCATCACAAGGGAAAAGAAATTTTCTAACTATATAAGGTGGTGGATGTCAAGTAAACCTATTATACTAGTCACTTTGCAATACACGCAGAAGTCAAATTTTTATGCGCTACACCTTAAACGTCTATCTCTAACACAAAGAAAAAAGTTTCATCCAGCTGTAAAAGCCTACTGTTTACAAAATAAGAAAAACCTTCGATATCTTCAGCATCATGTACTTTGACCTACTGTCCGAAGTGACTTATTAAAAAAAATCAAGATGATAGACAATCAAAACTGCCTCTTTAGCAAATTCCTTCCTCCCCCATCTCTCCTCCTGTCAGGGAAGTGCAGCATTCTGGACTCTGACAGTTCTGCCTGGAAACGACGTTAGCTGTCTGTGTCCTGTTCACTAAGCCACTTTATCTTTCTAAATCTACCTCCTTATCTCTAAAATGGAGACAAAACCTCCCTTACAGGGCTATCACAAAGGGAAAAGTGAGTATTTTAATATGATCAGCACAGTGCATGGTGGAACATCACAGATATTCAAAACATGACGGCTGTTATGATAAATTAAAACACTGTGAAGCTGGGTCACAAAGGGACTGTAGGCAGCTCCCCCTCTGGAAAGGTTAACCAGCATGTGAGAATCTGGAAAAAATGCTGCAGGAGATGGTGGGTGGGACAGTTTTCTAGGGGGCTTGTCCGGGGGACCGCTCCTGACACGGCTCTGTGCACTGTGCTTCGCTACTCCTGGCCTTTGTTTCAGGCTGGAGGCTCACGGTGCTTTAATAAGACAGCTTAACACATTAACCCCATGCCAGATGTGCTCAGCCCTTTCTGTGTGTGCGTGATCTCAGTTACTGCTCACGTCGACCCTGCACACCAGGCATCGTTATTTCCATTTTAAAGATGAGAAGAATTCAGGTTCAGAAAAGCATAAACCTAAGGTCACCAGGTTCGCACCTAGTCAGCGACATGAAAACCAGGCGGCCTCAGGGCCCTGCTGCAGACATAGTCCAGGAGGCCGTAAACTATCCATGAACCCCTCTGGAGGTGAAGAAACACTAACTGAAAAGCATCTTAAAAGAAAAAGAACATACAACGTCAATTCGCTTACTACCGAGCAATAGCTCAAGGAATAAAACTCCAACCTTAACACCTCCTTGGGGAATTACCTTCAATAAAGATGATCCTAAAATATTTCCCATAAAGTGAAAAACCTACAGCTATTTTTTTGCACAGTTGTCATTTCTGCATTCAGAAGACCGTGTCCCCAAGTGCTGGCTTGGGGAAGGATGAGAGCCAGTGGCCAGATGGGGTGCAAGCTTCACCCGAGGGGTTCACAGTGATGATCAGCCAACTGAAAGTTTACTCTGGGACGGCGTCAGCCGACAGGGTCTTTCCGGGGATGGACAGGGTTCTTACCATGGGTGCCGAGCTGCCTGCTCGCATGTGTATCTTTTATTTGGATCTTTCTCCATCAGATTCCGAATGAAGTCCTTTGCTGTTCAAAAAAAAGGCACAAGGGGAGAAATCAGCATGTGTGACTTGAGAGATGACAAGATGATACCAGTAGAGGTATCGAGGGTACCATAAAAAACACAAGACCAGGGACCTGGGACAAAAAGGCGAGGTGGTACCAGCATTTGCAGGAAAGGGAAACCAAGGCTGGGGATGCTGTGTGTTGATCCAGCAAACGAGGAGGCAGCCGAGCCAGCGCTGGGACCCCACCTTCCCAGCTCCGAGTCCTTTCCTGCCGGCAGCTAGCGGCATCTTCGGTTCAGGGGAAAGATGAGATATCTTTGTCCCCAGGTGCCTGTCGCTCAGCTCTGTGCTGCCATAGGGAGCTGTTTTGTTGACTTCTCTCCATGTGTAGATGTCACTAATTCAACAAAATCACCTGAGCACCCACTGGGCCACTGGGGCCCTGACTAGCTCTGTGGACATGTCACCTTCCAGAGGCCCAACCTGCAGCCCGTGCCAATGGTTACAGACAGTGAGCAGGAAACTGTGATGCCAGAGAGGTGCCCTGGTGGGGAGGCAGAGTGTGCCTGGAGGCCCAGGACCAGGGATGACCCAGAAGCAGGATGCTGGGAATGTGGGGGACTGGGTTCCAGAATAGGAGGATGACCCTGTGTGCCAGGTGGGAGAGCTGTCACCTCTGGGGCCTGGCATCCCACTGGCCACAGGACTGGACTCCTGGGGACGGCAGTGCCCTTCCAAGCTCAGAAGGAAGCTATTCCCCCAGCAGCTCTTTCCTGTTAGCCTTGGAGAACTGTACTCTGCTCCCAGGCTTTGGAAGATTGAGGAAGAAAGCAGGGTGTTCCCAGCTAGGAGGCAAGAACGCCAATAATGTGCTGTCTGAAGCTCATTTATTATTTCCTTTGACTCTTACATCATTCACCAGGGGATGTATTACTATCATCCCCATCTGGTCAGTGAGGAAACTGAGGCTGGAGATGTTTCATCTGTTTACCTGGACCTTGGGTTTGATCTTTACTTCTGAGGAGGAAATGGTGCATTTCCCTGGGGACATTCTGTGTGGTGCAGTCGCTGAGACTCGGGCCCCAGGGGCCACCCATGGGGAGCCGAGAGACCTACCAGAGTCGGAGATGTCATCCCAGTAGGGGGAGTCGAACTCATATTCCGCCTTGAGGATCTGCTCAAAGAGCTTGGAGTCATTCTCGTCATAGAAAGGAGGGTAACCGCAGAGCCTGTAAGACAGGATGGCGAGAGGACCTGAGACGGCTGTGGGCCCAGCAGCTCAGGCTGGTCTGACATCCAGCCCAGAGGAAGAGCTTTCACCCGAGCTGGCAAAGGCTGCACCGTGTGCGCTGCAGACACCGTCTCCACCAAGAAATCACACCTCCTACGTGTCCAGGTGGCACCTAAGTCAGCCTGTGACTTCACAGGGAGCAAAAAGGGTTAAACGCAGGTGGCAGCCGAGGCAAACGCATGCACTCAGTTCATCTTAACTCTGCGCACCTTAATCCCGGCCGCTGGACGCCCGGAACACCTACCAGGCAGCCTTCTGCGCATAAATGTAACTGATCTTGCTGCTCGTGAGAGTAGCCCTCAGAGATGATGGGTTAATGAAATAAACAAAACACACGTTTAATATGCATTTCAGGACCTTTCCAGATTCACTTTATTTAATAAATCATCAGAGGAAGAAAAGGAAATTTTATCAGCTTGAGGAACCAAGTCGCCACAAGTGGCTCCAAACCACAAAGCATCCCCCGACCCGGCCCAGATCGGGGACTTGGAAGGTTATAGTTTCACCCATTAACATGCAAGAAGCAGAAGGCGGCATAAACGATAACACGATCACCCTTTTCCCACTGAGCCCTTTCAAAGTTGACTTTTTAAAGATCTGATTAGGATGTCGGTGAACAGACCTTTTAGTTCTAGGGGTTCATCTGACAAACATAACAGGAGTAGAAATTTTTATTAAAGACCCCAAATACAATTTGTTCCATGAAATTGTGGGTTCTCACTCCCAGTTCTGCCACCAGCTCTGACGTGACCTCTACCATTAATAGGCCAGTGAGGCATTTTCTGGACCAAAATGTCCTCATCTGAACATGGAGTGGCCAGACTAGAAAGTTCCTAGCATTTTTCCTGGCTCTAAGATGCTGTGGCCCTATGCCTCCTTCTCCCAGCTTGTCTGGGGAAACACCTAGTGCAGGCTGGAGGCCCACGTGGGGCAGGCCCCGGCTGGGCCTGGACATCGGGAGGGCATGGGGTTTAGGCTGATGCCATGAGGGACAGACAGAGCAGAAGGCAAGGCTGGATTCCGCAAGGCCAGGTGCAAAGCTGGATGGCGTAGATCCTGGTTCTGGGCTGGTGACAACCCAGGGGGTGGCAGCCACAGTGCCAGAGTTCTGTCCTCAGAGGAGCCGTGGGTGACTCCTCCCACACAGCCAAACTTTGTTCAAAGCACAGCTACAGCCTAGAGACCGATTTAATGGGAACGATCGAACAGGAATCAATAGAATCCAGGCCTTCGAGGGATTTCGGCTGTCGGCAAGTAAGAAATTTACTAGAGGTTCGAAACACACAGCTTTAGGACAATTTTTCAGCCCCTCCTGCCACACATGGGATCGCTGGCCACGCTGCACAGGGGAGAGGCTGATGACTTTTTAAAGGCTGTGGGACATTCTGTGGGCTGGTAAGATTCAAAATCATCTATCCCCTCAAGGTTGATTTAGGGGCTAAGTGCCTGGAAATTTTCATTTTTTAAAAGATCTGCTGCTCTTGGTGAAATGAATAAGAAGAGCCAGGGCTTCTGAAACCACGAAGCACATATTTCACTGCCCAGGAAACCCTGGGGCTAAGTGATGGATATGGAAGTGTTTCCCATAATGAGGATTTGGGCTAAACAAAGTGTGCATATTAAGAAAAGGAGACAGAGTGAAATGTTAGCTCATCTCGGAAAATAATGAAATTTTAGACACGTGAGGTTTTTGTTTATTAACAACAGACTGTGTTTTACTTTACAGTCTGGCTTTCTTTTCAGGGAAAAAAAAGTCTTAAAGATAATCCCAAGACAGATTTATTCCTCTTGTGCCAATTTTCTTCAAGTAATCCTGATTTCTTCTGGCTTCAGCTCTTTTGGTGGGGGGATTGTATAGAATATTGTTTACTTGGCTACACTGAGGAAAGAAGGAAAGGAAATGGATGGAGCTTGGGGACTAAGCTAAAATTAAGCAAGAAGATTTTGAAATAAGGATCGAAACAGAACAGAAGGGCAAGGAGAAGTTGTAAAATCTTCCTCAGACCTCGAAATTTCCCAGAGCTCCCTGGCTGGGATATTTCAGGAGTAGGCTTGTCTGGTGGGTTCAAATGGGAGAAATAACTTTGAGCTATTTCTGTCGCCATATACAGAACGCTGACTCCCCCACATGGTCCTGGACCTGTCCATTTGCGGTATCATCTCTGTCTTCACATTTGGCACGTCAGACCATTTAAATAATCTACAAATCATCTCACCATGGGTTCTCAAAGATGATAAAGCCACTCCCAATTGTTCTAGGCCGAAAAGCCCTGGTTCAAAATAACATCTACATCTGCCAACCCAATGACTGCCCAATACGGGCACCTGGCCTTCACGGGCTGGTCCATCACCTCCATTCCCAGCCTCAGGACAGTCGTCCAGGGAGATCGCTTTATACCTCCTACCTTTCCTGTGCTACTTAGTCTGCCATCTTATCTACCTCGGCACAACTTCCACAAACGCATGGCTAGACTCTAGTACGGCCTTGACTGAGTGCTTAGTATTGGGTCAAAATCTCCACCAAGAGCTTTGCTGTATTATCCCCCTTAAACCTCACTCCCCCAGGAGGTGGGTGTCCCCGACAACTTCCCTTCGCTCTTTAGGGCCACTCTCCACTATGCCTTCCCTGGGAGGCTGACCTGTGCGGAGGGTTGAAAGAGGGTTGAACTCTCTGACACCCGGGAGGGGGTCGGTCGATAGGGAGACAGTGGAGGGAGGAGGAAACCAGGGACAGGCTAAGTGGAGCCCTGGCCCCTCCACCCAGGCTCAGGCTGGTTACACCCGTGACCAAGGGCCACTGCCCCTCTGGAGTGGGGAGACTCCGTCAGGCTCTCCCTTTGGTGAGGTAACTGCTTCCTCCCTCCCCTGATCACCGAGGATCCAAGGGTGTTTACATTTCAGCTGCTATAAACCTCGGGGTCGCAGTGCCATCCCTTGTGGTTCCCTCACACCCCACCCTTGTACACAGTCCCTTGTCCAGCTCTCATTCTAAAGTTAAAGAAACTAACAAGCAGCCAAGTCAGGATGCGAGCCTTATCTGTCTGATTCCAGGTCTGTGTTCTTACCTGTTCCACTTGTTCACTAAAGAGAAGGTGGCTTGAGAACTGAGCCGCATGTTTCAGTCTCAGCTTTGAATTCTCTCTGCGGGCCATTTTGTTTGCCCACCGGCCCCTTTATCTGCAAGTAGAACCCGGTGATTGGACCCTACTTCCCCAACCCCGTTTCCCACACTCTGGGTCTAGTTGCTAAGATGCTTAGGGTTGGTTCACTGCACAATGAAACCAAGTTTTGCTTCTGGACCAAGGTAAACGTATTCACTTTACCTGGGCTACCCTCCCCTGGCCCCTGCGATCAACTCTGGCAGACCCTTGGAGACCGGCTGTGGTGTTACTAGGAAGATGCAGCCCCTCCTGCCAGGCAGGGTGGGGGTCCTGCTCTGCCCCCACGGCAGTGGACAGAGCTGTGCAGTGACACTCCCTACACCGCAGGCTGCCCTGACCTGTCCACAAGCTCCTTCAGGCAGGACCATGTCTTATGTCTTATTTTCGTCTTTGGATTTTCAGTGCCCAGCCCAGGGTTTAACCATGCTGGATGCTGGGTAAGTGTCTGGATCAATGTATATGCTCTTGAAGAAGAGGCTTCTTCATTGACTGCTGAGCACCCCCGGCTGGGCTCTGAAACAGAGCTAAGCATCCAGGATGCCCCAGCCCAGGGAGCCCTCCAGCCCCCACCTGCCATGACTCCTCCCTCCTGCTCATCACCCCTCCCAGGAGGTGGTGAAAAAAAAAAGCAATGTTCTGTGTACATTTGACAGACATTCCAGATAACCCAGTGCGCAAGGTCGGGTGCTGGGAGCAACCTGGCCTGTCTCTGTACAGAGAATGCAGTGGGCTCCCTGAAATGCCACTTTGGTCTTGTGGACAAGTTTCATAGAGGACAAGGTTTTCCACGAAGAGGGCTTTTAACATAAACAAATGTGAAAATTGGCAATGGCCAACCGTGCCTGAGTCAGCAGTGCCTGCTTTTTCCTGGAAACTGAAATGCTGTCATCCATCAGAGCTCCTGCTGAGAAGCCCTGGGACTGTGCCGTGGTCATTATGCTCCAGGAAGTGACAGTCTCCCTCCTTGTTTGCCTCTGGTCGTGTATTTGCGTCCCTACAAAAATGGGTGCCCACTGAAAAGATTTCCAAGTAAAGATTAGTTGTTACCTCTTCCCCCTTTTATGTTAACCTTATTGCTATAATTCACCTCAACCTTCTACGTTCTTGTATATTTCTTTGACCCGTGAATTACAGGTTTGAGGTTCTATTTTACCTCATAGCTTTTGGTACCAGAGGGAGACCCAGAGCGGACAGGAGGGAGCTGGTATCAGAAGTAGTGGTAGGCAATGAGATGTCACCTCACATCTGTTAGGAGAGCTATTATCAAAAAACAAAAGTTCACAAGAGTTTAGATGTGGAGAAGATGGAACGCTTTTATGTTGGTGGGAACGCAACATGGTGCAGCCACAATGGAAACAGTATGGAGGTTCCTCCCAAAATTAAAAATGGAACTGCCACATGATCCAGGAATGCCTCTGTGGGACACAGTTCCAAAGGAAATGAAATCAGGACCTTGAAGAGATACACATGCTCCTGGGTTCACTGCGGCATTATTCACAATGGCCAAGATGTGAAAACAATGTGTGTCCGTTGACTGATACTTGCACAAAGGAATTATGCTGTATTTATACAATGAAATATTACTCAGCCTTAAAAAGGAAACCCTGCTATTTGCAACAACATGGATGAACCTGGAGGAGATTATGAAGTAAAATCAGCCAGACACAGAAAGGAAAAAAATACCTGATCTCAGTTATATGTGGACTCTAAAAAAGGTCAAATACATAGAAACAGAGAGCAGAGCTGTGGTTACCAGGGGTGGGGAGGCCAGGGAACT